TTCGTAATATAAAAAGCCAATGTCTCACAGCATTTTAATAACCACAGATGCAAACACAAATAGAAAGTTATTTTTCGTACATTTTAAAATTCTGACCTAACAATCTTTAATCAATAAAGAAGGCGTTCAAAGGAGAGCATTTCTCTAACAAAAATAAAATGAAAGCGGCAAGACATATATGTCTAGGAAAGAAAACCAAATACTTATCTCAAACGGTTATACATTTCCTCCTTCAAAAGTGGAATACGACAATTGAGAAGAAATCAGAGAATGTTGATAACTAGATTTAGAATACCGAGATTCTTGGTGTTCATTTTTTTTAATTCAAGACTAGGTAATTTTTCTTACTGACTCACGGTAAAATTCATTCTAGATACGCACTGGCCTATTTACTGAAATAAATCGATCATTAATTTTAAAACTTACCCTGAAAATATTGTTCATCTCGCAAAGTAAACATAATAAATTTATACATGAAATTTTGAATTAATTTTTGAAAGGTAACCGTTCAAATCAGTGTAAATAGTAAATGTTGACTGCAGATATTTTATTTGCACAATGGTTAAATTTAAATCCCGTTATATGTTTCGTAATATTCTCATATCAAGATTTAAGTATGAGATAAATAATTAGCCATTGTGTGTAAATTTTGTATTCAGATTTATCGCTATCATTTGCATTCATATTGAAGGTATATATTTCAAATTTATCCATTTGAGCGTGTCAATTTTTGATTCAGATGTAACTGGTATTGACAAAACTTTATCATTGTCACGTCTAACAACATACACATCCCTCCTCAACAAACACACCACAATCCCCTGTATTCGAAGAATTTTAGTCGCAACCGCTATATTAAGAGCTAGCCAGTCGACTCATTCTAAATATTTCTCTCATGAGTGTTCGCTCAGGCCACTGAAATCCGCGTGTGTTTCTCGTGTCTGACGTCTGCTTTCCACTCAGAGAAATAACGACTAAGCGAAATGTGCGCTGGCTTTATATAAGGACATATATTCCGATAAAAATGATTAATGACTTCACTTTACCTAGCCAAGACCCAATAAACGAAACTTCAAATTGCCCAATTTCATTATCTCCATATTACCGTAAACTGGCCACCGAGTTTTCTTACCGACGAAGGATTCGTCGCCTGAACTCCAAAATAATTATAACTATAAAAATTACAGACGGTTTTCGCAGAAATGGGACATCTTAACCGTAGGCGATCTTGTTAATTAACCATATGGTATTTCCTTTGTATGCTTAAAATATTTCTGTAAAGATATTTGTTTTCTTGGGCGATCAACTTAAACAAATCCCAAATCTTGTGGCTTAACACTAAATAAATGAAATAATTTAGATCATTATATTCTGAACACACATGTTCTATGGATAGTGTAGTGTAAAAAAACGTTTCTCAGGACACAAAAAATTCGGAAAAAGTATTAATTGTGACTTTTTCTTACTGGTTAATGAATAGGGCATAATTTTACTGAATCTTTTCAAGTCAAATCTGGGTTCGATTCTTCTTGAAGCTGCTCTTAATTTCATTTTGTTATTTTAAAATATAAATTATAACGTGTTTCGTTTTAAATGTTTTTTCTCAACCATTCAATCTCATTAATGTGCAGCATTGACGATTTGTGTGGGGAGAGTATGGCGTCGCTCTAAAGTCGGCTGCCACTTACAAACATCATTGGCAAATTTAATCGCCCTTCCTATCAAATATTAAGAAAATATTTTTCAGGTATATAATTTAGTATAAAAGATAAATAAAAATACTGGTGGAAAGGCAAACTTTTATTTAATCAGTGCTAATCTTTCTGCACCTGTACATCATTTTTTAAAGCTTCCAGCAATCGTTCTGTAGAATATGGTGCAAACACGCAGTAGTTTTCTAACGTGTGCCACCACTCACTCCTTCCTGCAGTAACGTATGGCTAAAGTTAAGACACTTACAACCAAAAGAATTACGTAATCAAGCAGAATAGGGAGCGGTTGATCTATAGGGCCATTACCAAATGCAAAATATCCATGTCAGTAACCCTGGATCGATTATTCTAATATGGAAGAATTTATTGTAAGTAAAAAACATCATTTAATTCGTTCAACCGAAGATGTTGTCACAAAGCACACAAAGAATAAAATGAGTCAACACAAATCCATTAGTAACTCGATAGGAGATCCAAGTTAAGGATCAGTTTCTAAAAAGAAGTATAGGTAATGAAGGGCACAGAAATTGTTTAAATCCGGTACTGCTCGCAAAACACTGTCATTAAATAAAGGTATCAGTTTTTATTCTCATGAAGTTCCTTTGTAAGAATTGAGAGAAACTTAATAATGTTTAGAAGATCGGTATTTGAACAGATTAAACAAACATTGACATTTTGGGCGACAATTCATCACGTGGACATAATCGAAAAAGCACCAGCACTCCAGATATAAATCTCATAATTTGGGAGTGTTTCACTGGACCTATGGGTTAAACAGTTGAACTTACATCTATTATTGTTATTCTCAAAAAATATTAATGCATTATTCACTCGCAAAAAGAAGTTATTCTTATGTCACTAAAAGCTTTAAATAACCAACAAATGGTTGATAAGACATGAAAGGATAAATCAAATATTCACTGGAATGGGAGTACTTCTGATGATTAAAGATACCATGAATGGAGGGATATATCTGTGTATATTTCAAGCGAATTTGTTCAATTTGGGCCACAAATGGAGATTGAAGGATGTTAAAATGTTCAAAAAGATAAGGATCAGAAATATGTAATTCGTGAATATATTGTACATGGTCTCGTAAAATGAATGCGATTTAAAATACACGTTGAAACATAAACTATCGAAATCAACACATGGACCTAGAAACATTTAAGTCTGAAGGGTTGTTTAACAAAATTTTTCGAACGGTTTGTGAATATGTAGAACAAATATCTCTGAGTAGTAATTGCAAACCAAGGCGATGGAACTATGTAATGCAGATTGTCTCAAGTGTTTATATTTTAACCTTCATTGTAGTACGATGTACTTTTTTTTGTAATTCTTAATTTTATATAAACATCCATCATCTATGAATTTGAAGTAAATATAAGCATCGGAATTATATCAAATAATTTTATGGCAAAATACCCAAATATTCCATACCCGGCATTATACTCACAACTATGTAATGCATACAAATATATCTATTGTTCAAGACTTTCTTTCTCTCAATCCCCGTATATATACATACAACACACACACATAAATACACACACACAAACACACGCAAACACACACAAATACATACACAAATACACACACAAACACACACACACACACACACACACACACACATATATATATATATATATATATATATATATATATATATATATATTTAAGAATATGACTTATTAATGTAATGAGTGTGTCCTTTGAATTAATCTTCACATATCATCTTTATAATTAGTTAGTATTTCTCGGTGCATAGAATTAATAAAATTGATCGGCAAATCTACTCATTATTTTTTTTTTCTTTTCCTTCTTTTTCATCATTCATTTTTTCGTCTCCGTATATTCGTTTTAATGGAATAAACCAGAAAGCAACGTCATATTAAAATTCACTCAAAAAAGCAACCTCGTCAAAATGAACGAAAATACCGAAGATTAGTGATTGATAATAATGTTGAGATTTCCATTGATGACCATGAAGTAAGAGGAACAACAGAAAGAGAGAAATAAAGAGAAAAATTAAATTAAAGAGAATATAAAATGAAGTAATGCAGTTGAAAGTGTAAGAGTAAGAGGTAGATTTTAATGGCTAGATGAAGTAGAAGATGGTATGCGAAGGACATGAGATCAATGACCTGATCAATGAGAGGTCTTGGCGTGCTTTCGAACTATCAATCATAGTCAATAGGAAGAGAATGCAAGACATTGAACTTATTTCAAAAGACGTTTGGCAATAGACTTCCGGCCTATTCTGACTGCCCATGGTTATTTGGACTGGATGGACGGCAGTGTTATCCATGTGACGTTGGAGACACGTTGATGTGATATCGTGCGCGCCCTTCTAAAAATATTATTCTCCTATTTCATCTCCACGTCTGCTTTCAGTGAATGCTCTCTGATAATACCTTTCAAAAAGTATTGCCTCTTATTTCTCTGACCAGTGTGACTGATGTTCGTCTGTAAGGAATGAAGATTTATCTTTAAGAAATGATAGATCTTGTAAAACAAACTTTTACCTTTTTTTTTTCGTTTAGTCTTTCTTCGCTTATTATACTTTCATCAATCTTCGCAGTTCCTGACATTTTATTGAGCACTTCTTACGTCTTGCAGTTTCCTTCTTTGATACATCTGTATCTATATCTATATATCTATATCTATATATATGTATCTATATATCTATATCTATATATATATGTATCTATAAATTAGAGAGAATTATAGAACTTTTTATGTTCAGTATCTGAAATGATATAACAAAATTCAAAAGCAATACATCTAATCTGCTCTTTACCGCGATTCCATACCTAAAATTAATTAAGTCCCACAAAGAATGTTTTGAAAGTTAATATTTGAGATTATCTAAAAGTGCATGTTTGTATATTTAAAAACTATATTTGTCATCATTGTTTTATAGTAATTTAATCTAAAATAATATTATCTATCTTAGCAATAATTCACCACCACAAAAGTCAATAGCTGATAAATTTTATCAGCCGTCCAATTGTAACATTAAAGCATTCTTCTATTCATTGAAAATGGATTCATATTCTTGGAAATAGTCATATTCCACTTGTTTGAATCTATTGTTACACTTTCTTTTCAGTCAAATCACCTGGGTAAAATAACGACGTGACAACAACAACCAAAAGCCTTCCTTTCCAGACTTTCCATGAAAAGAGTGATATAAAACCATCATATAACACCGTCAGCATTTTAAAATTCAAAATGGCTACCTTGCATCATATCTTTATTAAAGGAGATTTCAGTCCCTAAGTATTTATGACGTTTACTCATTTTCTCTATCACTTTCGTTTTCTTATTCTTCTCCTTCAATCTTTGTATTCTCCTTTCTTTCCATATCGTTTGAAGTTTTGATTTCATGTGTGCTTTCTTTTTCCTAAATAGTAAAAATACTTTTATAACATAAGCTTTATTGAAAAGAGAGTGATAAAGGAACTCACAGAATGTCTGATGGCCGCTGTCTTCAGCAATAAAGCTATTCAGTGTTAATAAGATTCCCGTGACTATGGTTGATGGTCTCGGAGAAAGTGCATCTCCAAGGCAGCGAAACTTGTGTATGTAAACTTTCAGATATATGTATATGTGCATTCATATATCTGTATGCTTGTATTGGTATCATGTTACGGTGCAGAATAATGTTACTTTGCTAACAAGGATACAAGGAAATAATTTAAAATATAGCAAAATAGGAATATATGAATGTTTAAAACATTTTTCTCTACACAAACGCAACAAATAAAAAATATCATTTACATTGTTCGGACTATCATCTTCGTTGCCATATTTATCAAAACGGTTCGGCCTTCTTCAGGTGGTTGGAATGTCGAACCGAACCTTTTATTTCGCTCTCTGCGGTAAACTGTTATAGTTCCAGGCGCCATGCCTAATGGATGTCAGTTATCTCCTGTTAATTCCCCTCTCCAAGTTCTCCACCGCACTAATCAGGTATTGAACTGACACTCTTTGGGTCCTGTCACTGGATCTAACTAACGCCTTTATCCAATGTGTCCTTGACGACATTTATGTATGAATTTCTGGATATTATAACCCTAATGTCTTCAGCAAACTTTTTTAACAGTGCTCATATTGCAATTTTTGCTGTTATTATATCATGTTTTTACCAGAGCTCATATTGCAATTTTCGTTGTTATTATAGCTTTTCTCTGGCACTCCTTATTGCTGGTTCCTATATTGTATTAATTTCTATGCTTGGTCGGCTCAGGAGATTTTTGTGGCCTAGGATATGTGCTGATTCCTTAAGTTTACGACTTTTTCAATTATGTTCTTTGTCTGTGATTTCAACCTGATCTCACAGACGGCGGTGATCTCCCTTTTCTCTCCACATGTGGTCAGCCACGCCTGATTTTTTCCACTTCCCCTTGTGTTACAGCATTTTTGGTTTTCTTGAAGCCTTACCTTAAGGTGGCAGCCTGTCTCCTCGTTATATTCCTTTCCGCAGCTGTACGGCATGGCGTACACACAGTCTTTAGTCATGTTCTCCTCTATGGGAGAGGTATCTGCGAAGTGTCATCCAGCTTTTGAAGTTTGTTCTGATGTTATATGAACCGCAGATCCTTTGTATTTTTTCCGATACCCCCTTCACATAAAGCAGGCAGATTGTTTTCTGAGTGTTATGCCCTCCTCTTATGAGGGCTGTTGTTACGTTTTAGGGCACTGCTTATATTGAACAATTCTTTATCTAATATCTCTGGGTCGCCACTTATGACTTTTGCTCGGTGTTGTAAGCAACGGACGATCCCTTTCTTTACGCTGTATGGATGAAGGTATTTGAATTTAGGTACTGTCCGGTGAATGTCGGTTTGCGGTATACGGATGTCTTGAATCCATGCGCTGATCGAGATATTAGAACACCCAGGAATGGGAGTGTGGTGTTAACATATCCATCAGATTATCTATCGGAATTCTGGTCCGTTCTTCTAGGGATGAGTCAGAGGCCAATCTGTCTCTGACTACTGAGAGTGCCTCCTCCGTGAGCACCTTGGTGAACAAACTCAACACATCCTAGCTCATCATCTGGTTGGATGGGATGTGGGCATCTTTGATTATTTCCACGAAGTGGGCGGAATTTCGGACATATGAAGGTGACTTTCCGATCAATGACTCAATTATATCTACAAGGAAGCGTCTCAGAAGGTGGCATACAGAGCCTTGGCATCTAACAATTGCCTGAGCGGAATACCGTCATTGTGAATCTTAGGGATATGTGAGGTAGCTTGGTGTAACGCTGCGACAACTGCCTATACATATTAGGTGCGAAGTGATCCTTGTTCTTGATTAGTATCTGTGACAGTTTGCGTTCCGTTTTGATTGTAGGATCCAATTTTTACTTTGCTGTAGCTACCATTTCTAATGAGGTCTTTCAGCTTTCCTGTATAATCTGATTTATCCATCACTACAGTAGCATTACCTTTGTCAGCCGGTAGTATGAGTATGTTTTCGTTACTCTGTAGGGACCTGATTACCAGCCTTTCCATTTTCGTGATGTTTGACTTGGGCGGCTTGGCTTTCTCCAAGGTCTGTCTCACCCTCCATCTTAGCTCATCCGCCTGAGCCTGAGGTTAGTTCAAGGCCACTTCCTTGATTCTGGCAATGATATCCAAGTATAGTACTCGCCTGATGGTTGTGAACCACAGAACTTGGAAAGAAGAATTAACAGGAGATAAATGATAACTGGCATCCATTAGACATGGCACGTGGAACTAGAACAGTCTACCCCAGCGAGCGAAATAAAGGGTTCAGTTTGATATTCCTACCACTTGAAGAAGGCCGGAGCGTACAACGGCCAAAACGTTGTGATAAATATGGCAATTGTTATTTGGATATTTAACAACTAACATAGAACATGGCTATGGGAAAATCAAACTAAGGCCAGGTGTGTTGGAAGATTTTCTTTGTGCCTTGTTGATGATCAGGACAATGCTGAAATTCAGTGAAAATTTACGTAGACTGAATTTAAATGGAAAGATTGTTGAAATTATGGCTGTCCATATCTCGCTTACATAACATAGGATAGTTGCCTAACATTGTATGTTTTTTAAATATAAATAGCAAACATCTTACATAGCAAAAAAATGTTTGTTGCTAGATAACCTTGATATATTGGGAAGGATATGAGAAGAATTCAGAACCTATACTGGCTGCAAACCGCCTACATATTATAGAAAATGAACTCAGTAATTATAATACAAAAATAGACGTGTCTTCTTACCGGACATATTCAACTCATACTGTGTGGAGATTGTGAGAGAATTAGAATTCCTATTTGGATTCATTATTTGTAGCCATAATCTTAGCATAATATATACAGGTGGGACATTGTTGATAACAGACATCGAAAGGAAACTATAAGAACTCCTACAGAAGGTAGTGAAGGAAAACAAAAAGAAATGACTAAACATAAATTGTAAAAAGACACAATGCATGGCTGTTAGTAAAATGAACCGCCATACATACACATTACAAATTGGAGATACCAAAATCATACAAATTCTACAATTTAAATCTCTGGCAAGTTTCTTAACAGGAGACAGAAAGTGCAATTTCTGAAATCAGCAGGTGCATTGGGTTGGGATAGAGAAAGATACCATCTAAAAGCAAAGTAAGTATTAAGAAATGGAGAAAAAAAAACAAAGAAAAGTTTACTGAAATCTTACGTAACATCAGTCTTTTTATATGACAGTCAATGACAGACAATCTGCTCACAGATGAAGCAGTGACTTGTAGCAACAGAAGTGTGGTTCCACAGAAGGCCGTTGATAATACCATGGACCGAACGACGATATTTTAGATTAATTAGAAACAAAAAGGACATTTATAATTAACATTAGAAATAGACCAATGAAATTTCTATGGGACATAATGAGGATAGAAGTCTTGGAAAATCTGATACTCGCAGAACAGATTGAAGGAAAGTGGGACAGAGGAAAACAACGCATAACCTGTATAGGGAGCTTGAGTAAAATGGATGGCAGACCGTGACTTAGCAGAAATAAGAAGAAGATAACATTTATTAAGATTTTCAAAGAACAGGAATTTATGGACAGGAATGAAAGCCAACGTTTTGAAGAAACACAGCATATATAATAATAATAATAATAATAATAAGAAGAAGAAGAAGAAGAAGAAGAAGAAGAAGACCGCTATTGACATTGCAGGTCAACACGATTAATCCAATCACCATTTTACTACCCAAGCTACTTCCAGTTAAAAATTCCCCACCAAGATTGTGTAATTGTCTCAGCGCAATATAGATAATGAAGGTCACAAATGAATTCTACCTTAGCAACCTTGGAGTTCGAATTTGACCTTATCAATCCTACTATTTGAGAGGTAGACAACATTTATGTGTATCATACCAAACACAATTTCTCCTTTCATTTTGCTATAAATTGTTTCGGTTTGCTAGAAATGGCATGTTGCACTATTTACTGACATTTAGTGACTTTGAACGATCACCGACATTCACTTAATATACTGTAAATCATAAATGGATGTTTTTCTTTTGAGAAATTATATAACATAATACATTCCACGCGCATACAGACACACACGCACACACACGCACACACACACACACACGTGTGTCCGTGTGTCTATGCATTAGTGTATTTATGTCTCTCTTTCCCCCTCTCCCTATCTCTCTATCTGTGATTTTTTAGCTTAATTTACACTTAATTTTTCCAGTAACAATCTTCAGCATTACGCTCCACTCAACGCTTTTCATTTTCGCCGACTTGAATTCTGGCTAAATTTAAGTTGCCTTTTTTCAATAGATGCAATGTGCTAAAAACACTTATACTGTAGGGAATAAATTATTTAAATTTGAAAGCAATAAATTGAAATAAAATAATAAAACATGTGTACTTTGAAAAACAGGGCAGACAAGTCATTAGAGATTTTAAATGATTTTATATAGAAATACATTGCCTATTAAGATTATCACCAGCTCAGATAGGGCTAAGACCTACGCAGCAAGACTGGCCAGCTCAGATAGGGCTAAGACCTACGCAGCAAGACTGGCCAGCTCAGATAGGGCTAAGACCTACGCAGCAAGACTGGCCAGCTCAGATAGGGCTAAGACCTACGCAGCAAGACTGGCCAGCTCAGATAGGGCCAAGACCTACGCAGCAAGACTGGCCAGCTCAGATAGGGCCAAGACCTACGCAACAAGACTGGCCAGCTCAGATAGGGCTAAGACCTACGCAGCAAGACTGGCCAGCTCAGATAGGGCTAAGACCTACGCAGCAAGACTGGCCAGCTCAAATAGGGCTAAGACCTACGCAGCAAGACTGGCCAGCTCAGATAGGGCTAAGAACTACGGAGCAAGACTGGCCAGCTCAAAAAGGCCAAGACCTACGCAGCAAGACTGGCCAGCTCAAATAGGGCCAAGACCTACGCACCAAGACTGGCCAGCTCAGATAGGGCTAAGACCTACGCAGCAAGACTGGCCAGCTCAAATAGGGCTAAGACCTACGCAGCAAGACTGGCCAGCTCAGATAGGGCTAAGACCTACGCAGCAAGACTGGCCAGCTCAAATAGGGCTAAGACCAACGCAGCAAGACTGGCCAGCTCAGATAGGGGCTAAGACCCACGCAGCAAGACTGGCCAGCTCAGATAGGGCTAAGACCAACGCAGCAAGACTGGCCAGCTCAGATAGGGCTAAGACCTACGCAGCAAGACTGGCCAGCTCAGATAGGGCCAAGACCTACGCAGCAAGACTGGCCAGCTCAGATAGGGCCAAGACCTACGCAACAAGACTGGCCAGCTCAGATAGGGCTAAGAGCTACGCAGCAAGACTGGCCAGCTCAGATAGGGCTAAGACCTACGCAGCAAGACTGGCCAGCTCAAATAGGGCTAAGACCTACGCAGCAAGACTTGCCAGCTCAGACAGGGCTAAGACCTACGGAGCAAGACTGGCCAGCTCAGATAGGGCTAAGACCTACGCAGCAAGACTGTCCAGCTCAAATAGGGCCAAGACCTACGCAGCAAGACTGGCCAGCTCAAATAGGGCCAAGACCTACGCAACAAGACTGGCCAGCTCAAATAGGGCTAAGACCTACGCAGCAAGACTTGCCAGCTCAGACAGGGCTAAGACCCTGGAGCAAGACTGGCCAGCTCAGATAGGGCTAAGACCTACGCAGCAAGACTTGCCAGCTCAGACAGGGCTAAGACCTACGGAGCAAGACTGGCCAGCTCAGATAGGGCTAAGACCTACGCAGCAAGACTGACCAGCTCAAATAGGGCCAAGACCTACGCAGCAAGACTGGCCAGCTCAAATAGGGCCAAGACCTACGCAACAAGACTGGCCAGCTCAGATAGGGCTAAGACCTACGCAGCAAGACTGGCCAGCTCAAATAGGGCTAAGACCTACGCAGCAAGACTGGCCAGCTCAAATAGGGCTAAGACCTACGCAGCAAGACTGGCCAGCTCAGACAGGGCTAAGACCTACGGAGCAAGACTGGCCAGCTCAGATAGGGCTAAGACCTACGCAGCAAGACTGGCCAGCCAAATCAAGACCTACGCAGCAAGACTGGCCAGCTCAAACCTAAGACCACGCAACAAGACTGGCCAGCTCAAATAGGGCTAAGACCTACGCAGCAAGACTGGCCAAGAGGGCTGACCCAGCAGCAAGATGGGGCTCAGATAGGGCTAAGACCACGGAGCAAGACTGGCCAGCTCAGATAGGCCAAGACCCATGCAGCAAGACTGGCCAGCTCAGATAGGGCTAAGACCTACGCAGCAAGACTGGCCAGCTCAGATAGGGCTAAGACCTACGCAGCAAGACTGGCCAAGCTCAGATGGGGCTAAGACCTACGCAGCAAGACTGGCCAGCTCAGATAGGGCTAAGAAGACAAGACTGGCCAGCTCAGATAGGGCTAAGACTGGCAAGCTGGCCAAATGGGGCTAAGACCCACGCAGCAAGACTGGCCAGCTCAGACAGGGCTAAGACCTACGGAGCAAGACTGGCCAGCTCAAATAGGGCTAAGACCTACGCAGCAAGACTGGCCAGCTCAAATAGGGCCAAGACTCACGCAGCAAGACTGGCCAGCTCAAATAGGGGCAAGACCTACGCAACAAGACTGGCCAGCTCAGATAGGGCTAAGACCTACGCAGCAAGACTGGCCAGCTCAAATAGGGCTAAGACCTACGCAGCAAGACTGGCAAGCTCAGATAGGGCTAAGACCTACGCAGCAAGACTGGCCAGCTCAGATAGGGCTAAGACTCACGCAGCAAGACTGGCCAGCTCAGATAGGGCTAAGACCTACGCAGCAAGACTGGCCATCTCAGATAGGGCTAAGACCTACGCAGCAAGACTGGCAAGCCCAGATAGGGCTAAGACCCACGCAGCAAGACTGGCCAGCTCAGATAGGGCTAAGACCCACGCAGCAAGACTGGCCAGCTCAGATAGGGCTAAGACCTACGCAGCAAGACTGGCCAGCTCAAATAGGGCTAAGACCTACGCAGCAAGACTGGCCAGCTCAAATAGGGCTAAGACCTACGCAGCAAGACTGGCAAGCTCAGATAGGGCTAAGACCTACGCAGCAAGACTGGCCAGCTCAGATAGGGCTAAGACCTACGCAGCAAGACTGGCCAGCTCAAATAGGGCCAAGACCTACGCAGCAAGACTGGCCAGCTCAGATAGGGCTAAGACCTAGGCAGCACGAATGGTTTTATTTTATTTCATTCTTTTTTTTTACTATCTTTCTTTTTTTATTATTATTCCGTCTTTCTTTCTATTTTATTATGAACAATATCAATAAAATGTGTGCCGCTCGGTCAATAATTTGAATTTGGGATCCAGCTGAAGACAAAAATGAAAACCACGCACGACGAAAGATTTGCTTTGAATGTTGACTCACTCGGGCTGAACTCGTCCGGAGTTGCCATTGCACCCTGTATATCATATAATGTCAGGTTATGTCTTATATACATAGTGCGATAGATATATACACATACACCGCAATATCGTAAGAATTCACTTTTATCATTTCTACAACATATCTCAGTATTCTGTAACTCTTCATTTGACAGTCTATTTTGAACAGAATATATCCTGCAAGATTATACTTCTTCAGAGATCTAAATGAATGTAACAAGAGGAAACGTGGCAAGAAATCTTACTCAATCTGATACGAATGAATATCTCCTACTTAATTCTAATTTCCAATCGTTTTTTTACACTGATATTTTGAATTTCTTCCATAATATGCCATAAAACTACATAACTTTATATAGTTATCGGTCACGCATCTTTAGCTCTTCTATAAACGAACATGCCTCCTATTAAAAAGATAACAACAGAAAATCCGATTACTAAGTAGGGCTGATCAAAGCTGATAATACATTGCTTTTTATTTTGTTTTGTATTAGCTTAATTTGAATATTTTTACTTCTAATATTTTAAAAAGCAAATTCTTCCGTGCATGCGATAGTAAATTTATCGGCATTGATAACAAATCTAAATTATTAAGGAAGAAATTATATATAAAAAAAATAACAATATTGCAAATGTACTTTAAAATGTGTCTATATTTTACGGTATGGGTCATGTAAGCTAAAATATAACAAACTGCAGTGTTCATCAAGATTGAAAATATTGTTAGATTTTCGTTATTGCTACTTATCTACATTAACGTTCAGTTCAGACATTTTATGAATTTTGGCTGTGGTTGGTTTCGATGTAAAAATCTCGTCTTACAATTATGATTTTTTATGTATTTTTCATTTTTGTTCTACTATACCGTTGGATCATTACACCTGTTTCATACATTGGTATCTACTTATGACGAGTCTACTATATACAAATATCTTCATTTTCCCATCAATTATAATAGAAAACCTTATTTCATGTCCATCGAAGTAACGCCAAAAAATCACAATTCATATAATTCTCAAGTTGCTGTTGCTTCTCGCTCCCAAGTGGAATGTTTTGCGTAATTTTCCTTTAAAAATTATTTATATATTTTATATTTGCGCAGATTAGAAAGCATTTTTAGCACCAAAAGAACGGTAGCTATTTCTGAAGAACTTCATATGAAAAAAATAGACAATGTCGCTTTTATCTTTTATTTATTTATTTTCATTTTTATTTATTTATTTTTGTTTGTTTGTTAAAAGAAACAATGGTCAGTTTTTACATACGATAATGGGACTTATTCAGTCCTTCCAATGGGTTCAACTTACACTTTGGACTCATTGTAATATCGATATAAGCGATTTTCAAATTTGCTTCTTCTTTTGGGAATATCGATCCAATCGTCGCGTTCAGCGCATTATCCAATTCGAAGTCCGGATCATAATATGTACATGCTTACTAAACATACCAAAATGGCGTCTAATCTCTTCAGCCCATGCCATCCATGATCCGTAGAAATAGCGTAAGAACATATTCTAAAAGGGACTTAATGTAATCGGGCCTATGTGCGGAAATGTGTGAATAATGAGAGGAAATTGAGAAGAGAGCGTAAATCAATAGGCGGGTATAGTTTAGGAATGAATGGCTATAATATAGGTCATATTCACCAATGGTCACAATAAAAGTCGCGTGTTCGCGTGTACAAGTGGCATAAAACAGAAAGCAACAATAAAATTTGAAGGAAAACAAAAGAAAAGTGAAAGTGAAAGTTAAATATAAAACAGAGAGACTGAGAGAGAATGAGAAGTTTAAAGAAAAATATTGACCAAAAGAGACGATAAAAAAATAATGGCCGATATGACCAACAAAAATAAGCTCGGCCCTGTTTTAAGCGAAGATGTCTTTCTTTCTTGGAGTGCTAAAAATGTTGGAATATGATATATTTTCTTAAAATATTGTTATTTCCTCAATCGATCTTTTTCGAGAGGAAATATATTTTGACTTTGTAAATAATTTAAACGTTTTCCGTATAGATTCAAAATATGCAAACGCGTACAGTCATACTGACCAACATACACACATATTTGTATATATTGGTATTTTTTTTAGCTTACAAGCAAAGGATTAACAGTATTAATCAGAATTATGTAAGAAAATAAAATAAACGAAAAAACAAGCAGAAGGAATTCGATATTTCAGCTTTTAAATGGCAATGAATTTACGTAATCTAAAATTTGCCTAGAAAGTTCATTTTGTCGAGATTGTTCATGTCTTTCTGCTGAGCGGCAGAAGTGAACTCAATTTTTCTATAAAATCTCAAATGTCATTTTACAGTCGGCCTGTTATTTTGAAATACTCGAAATTAAATGCATTCGTATTTGACATGCTATTATTATATCCAGTAATGTTTATATGAAACTCATACAGGGCAAAGAGTTGCGAATTCAATCAATAACATATTAAAATAAATACGGAGGTCGATAAAAATAGCTATGAGTGCGTTAGATTTGGCATTGGTTAGTCTCAATTTAAAACCCAATTTCAATTCTCAATTCGAATTTGGCAAAAGGACACTCCATTCAAAAACCGACAAACGTCTTGATTACCAACTATTCTGTAGCAAGGTCACTTCTACTTCCTGTTAATATCGCTTTGTTCAGAAACGTTTCTTGTCTTTTCCCCGTCAGTCATATTTCATTTATCCTTAGCTTCTGTACAACAGTATAAGGCACGCAAGTTGTGAATCTGAGTAATATCACGCAAGTCTCCTTCTCAGTAATACAATCCAAATTTTTATAACAGATTCCCGAAAGATGTCTGACTAGAGGTAAGAAATTAATAATACATAACAAGTTATACATATTCTTCTACTAGTCTGAAACCTGTAGGCTTTTCTCGTATTGAAACGTGACTCTTTTTATATACAAGTAGAATTTTATTTTCTCCATTCAGTTCAACTTTTTAAACTATCTTACGACTTATGGATACCAGTTTGAAAACTAAACCAATGCCAAAACCATTATCATTCTTAAGGGCGGTTCGATTTTACAAGTATATGAAGCAGCAGAATTCCGATTACAAAACAGTGCATGCGAAGTTTAATAGTTATTTTTCAATCTTTCAACTGCAAAATAAAATCAATTTTTTATTCTAATATTTAAGAATCAATTGCGTAGGATCATTGGTATTACTGTAACTTAATTTACCTTGAGAAATATCGGTAAATACGAAAATAAAATAAAGGAAAAAAGAGGCAAAAACGGAACGAGCTAACTGGCTATCGCTCCTCAATCATCAGAACTTGATCGGAGCTAAAAGAAAATCTGATATTGTTTGAGTCAGACCAAGGATGACTGATAGGTTCATCACTTTAAGCCAGAAACAAATAAACAATCCATGCAGTGGAAACACTCCTTCTCACCTGCCCCAAAGATGACCAAGGTCGTTTCATCTTCAGAGAAGATTTTTGGGGGATGCAAAAGTCATTATTTTTATTGGCGACCTACAAAAGGACCACACTATCAATGGAGAGTACTATGACAACTTACTGTATCATTTACAAAAGGCTGTCAAGACCAAATTTTCAGGAAAAATGACGAAAGCAATCTTAACTGGCTGATCATTTTCCCTGTTCTCCTGATTTGGTCCCATGTGACTATCAGCTGTTCCCCAACATGAAACCTAGTATCGCAGAGATGATGACGCGATATATGCCGCCGATGACTTTTTTTGACCAATGGGATCAAAGCACTGCGACATTGATAGAGGAAGTGTATGGACGGCAATGGGGCCTATATTGAAAAATAAACCTCATTCACTCACTTTCTATGATGGTATATTAGTCAGACTATGAACTTTTCAACTGAGTCCCTTAGTAGAGATTCAGATACAGGTTATGTGGAAAAAGTGTTGGAAAAGTACTAAAAAAAAAAACAAAACGAGATATACCTAGAGGAGGAGAGAGGAACAAGAACAATCTACTTTTGTTAATTAGGTAAATGATTCAGTTCGAAAGTTATGTGAAGATTGCTCGGATCGAAAAGACACCTGGAAAATGCACAAAAAAATGTTGTGTTAACAACAAACATGATGTCATTAGTCCGATTGTAAATTATATATTTAATAACTATCCCAGAAATTCGGCCGGTAATCTGTTTGTCATTCTCGAATGTCTAAAGAGATTTAAAAATAAAAGCTTGTAATTATTGTTTTTGTTCTTTAAAATTCACTAGTTGTAAAAAAAAACAAATTTATGTATGAAAAGAAAAATATCTGGCCACTTTTCTAGCGAGGAAGAGGAAGAACCACTTAAATAACTTAAATCAGAAAAAGTTAAATTTAAATCAGAAAACAGACTATTTTTTTCCTTTTAAATTACTTAAAATACTTACTGATCGATCTGCTAAATGAATGATTTCCTATAATGATTATGTCCGTTGGTACACACCACGGCTGATGCGAATATGGAGAATCAAACGTCGATTTATTATAACTCTTCAAATATGTGAGTATATATATATATATATATATATATATATATATATATATATATATATATATATATATATATACAAAGTATAGAAAAGAAACCAATGAATGATCGCTGATTAACGTTGGAAAGCGAACTCTTTAAACTTGATTGTTTGCGATATTTCAATTGTTGAATGGAAAATCTCGTTTAAATGTTTTCTTTCATTGCATCCAACTTGATGTAAACCTCGTTTATCATACAAAAATCATTTGAATATTTCCATATATTCAGTCAATTAAATCAAAAAAAAAAAACATACCAAAATTTAT